ACATATTGGAGATGCCTATAAAAAGTGCTCAGTGGTAGAGGGAAGCGTGTTAAGAGAGATTTGAATCTGCTTTACCAAATGATATCGTAGAATTCTCAACTGGCTAAAGTTGGGCAAATGTAGGAGAGATGATGATGAGCCGATTGTTGATGATTGATCTGGAAGGGTGTTTTTTCCTTATAAATAATTAACTTGGCAAACCGTATTGAGGAAATCAAATTTGTTGTTGTCTTTGCACTAAGGAGCTGTCTCTGATCTTTGGCTCTTATCTAAATTCCGCTTCAGTGTGTGCTTTGAATTCCAACTGACTTTTGTCTGTGATATGTCAAAGCATAAGTAAGAAGCTCTTTTTGTGCAGTGTAGCCATTGAAAGAAAGAAAAAGCGAAAGAAAAAAAAAACGAAGAAGAAAAACGTCGCCAGCGGCAGTGGAAAATTGCTCTGAGTTGTCGTCTGGCTGCTGATGCTGATGCTGATGCTGTTAAGGGCGTTACTTGCATCTCCTCACCTAGAAACTGCACTCCCAACAGCTGTATGGGTGTATGTGTGTGTGTGTGTGTGTGTCTCTCTCACACTCGCTCTCTATGTGTGTGCGTGTGTGTGTGTGTGTGCTCGTTTAATGGCCACAAAGCGGAAACTGGAGCGTGGCAACTGACGGCGACGTTGTAAAAATTGCTGCAGTTGTTGCTGCTGCATTAGCAGCCATTTGCAGCAGCTATTGATGCGTCCTGCTCTCACCCTATCACCCCTCTCTCTCTCTCTCTCTCTGCCTCTCTTACTCTCGCTCTATGTATAGCGTGCTTTAGTGCTATTTATTTATGTTTGCTGCGGTGTCTGCTGGCCAGCCGAAATGATGACATGAAAAATTGTGTTGCCTGCCTTTGGGCGCTGCTGCTGAGATTTCGATTGCCAGCCCGAAGATGCGAAGAAGCAGAAGCAGAAGCAGAAGAAGGAGGAGAAGGAGGAGAAGAAGAAGGAACCGAGCAGAGCTTTTCATGTGCTTCATGAATTTATGGCTTTTTAAATCGAAAGAAATTCGTTCGCCAGCCTCGCTCACCAAATGTGCCAAAGTGGGTGAGGCGCACCACATCGAATGCTAATATGAAACCAACTACAACATCAGCAACAACAACAACAACAGCAACACAAATCAACATGAATGCTAAGCGCTCAAATGCTCTGTTCACACATATGCTCTCAAACTAAAAGTGAGGCGATTTCATCAATCGGTCAGCTCTATAAGCTGTAAATCTGTGACCATAGCTACTCGCTGACTGACGGACTGATTGATGGATGATTGACGCACAGCTGGATTGCTTACCGCGCTTAGCTCGGGCCCAAAGCTGAGCTAGCCTAAAGTTTGTCCCTGAAAGAACTCAGCTGCATAGAAAACTCCGAAGAGATAAGGCTCAAATGTACTGTAAGTACTATGTAAAACATTTATTTATTTATTAGAAATTAATTTTAATCAAAAATTAAGTCTAACTTAAGAATTAAGTCACTATGTGCTATGTTAAATAAAACTAAGTCTAACAATTCAGCAAACTCAAGTCGAGACTGCTCGACTAGGAGATTCCTTTAAACCTTCTAGTTCTTCGCTTCTTTTAGGCATGCACAAGACACACACACACACACACACACACACACACACACACACACACACTCACACTTATACACACTTATATTCTCTAACTTTCAGCACAGGAGAAAACAGTTTATATGAGTTTATTTGCCAATGCACAAGTCTCTAGTACATTTTCAATAACACGTTCTTAGGAATAGGGGAAGGGGAACGAAGGAAACTCGATCGCGCGTATTATAAACGGATCTTCAATATTTCTAGTCACGAGTCTAATATTTTCTGAGGTTGATGGGCTCACATTTCAGGTCAGGCGGACGGCTAGCTCATCGCCCTGATTGGGAATATACCTACTTGTTACATATATTTCAGCATATCCAATATACCCTTATTTCACATTTTCAATAAGTTCTGGGTATACAAGTATTTTTGTATCTAAGATCTACGATCTTTTTCAATCTGAGATCTACTTCAACGTGTTTGATGGCGTTTATAATATTCACGAACCATAATCTGTTTTTTCTTTTCTTTCACATAGCAGAGGATAAAAGATAAAAGATCTGGCCTCCTCTTCTCCTATATGGTTGTCTTCTTCTCTCATGTATTCTATTTCTGTTAGCTTTCTCTCGTCAATTGTCTTTTCTTTCCTTCTCTGTTATTATTGTTCTGTCTGCTTTCTTCAGCTATCTTCTTTTTTCTTGTCGTATTTTCTTTACTCTTTTCCTTTCCTCAGCTTTTGGCTGCTTTCTTTACCTTCTCTGTATTCTCTTTCTGTATTTCCTTAACTCTTTCTTTTCTTTCTCCACTTTTACTTTCTTTCCCTACATTTCGCTTCACATTACTTCTCTTCTACTTCTCTATCTATTATGAGAGAGGAAGGAAAAAAGAATAGATTTTTCCTTCCTCTCTCATAATATATTTTTCTATATTCAGCGAAACGAATCAACTGCATTTTCCGCTTTCGGGCGAAAGAAATGAAACAAAGAGGTATAACCACGAGTGCAAACGCACATATTCAAGATTTATGAAGACTTTTGCATTTTTATTTACGATGCGAGAACAAGCAAACAGGCAGACGTAAGCTGGGCGCACGTACATAAATTCGCGTTAGCCTCAGGTCGTGCGGCTCCTTTTTGGCTGGCCTCAAGGCGAGGGATTGCCTTTAATTGCAGTCCAGCTCCAGCCTCGGCTTCAGCTTGTGTTTCAGTTTCTGTTTGAGTCATAGGTTTGGGGCTGGGGTCTGTCGGGTCTGTCGGGTCTTGGGCTGGGCTCTGTGTTAGGGTTTGGTGTCGGTTGCAGATTCGGTTTCAGTTGTCCTCTCGCAGCTAGCCACAAATGTTGCCGCGCCATTAAGCGCAACGCTGGCAGCGACGCCAGCAGCGCCTGCGGTGTCAACTGCGATGCCGGCCTTGGCGACGCGACGCTCATAAAAAAGAAAACAAGAAAAACGAAAAAAAAAAAAAAAAAAATGAAATCGACGACACGCACAGAGTAGGAGGCGTCGTCCGACAACTGAGCCGGGGCAGGCAAGGGGTCAATGTGTGCGTGTGTGGGTGTGCGTATGTGTGTGGGCGTGGGCGTGGCTGCCTTGTGCTAGTTTCCGTCTGTGCAGGCAGACAAAATGTTAGCTTGGCACAGCTGCGGCCTCATTTCATGGATGCTGCTAAACACTAAAGCTGGCAAGGCGACCAAGTCCGAGTCCAAGTCCGAGTCCTAGTCCGAGTACGGTTCCGAGTCCGAGTCGGACTCGGTCCAAAGTCGAGTCGGAGGCGTGTCGCTTGTGTCTGCCCGTCGTCTGTCTCCATATATCCTGCTGTTAGCTGGCATTGTCCTTGCTGCTGCAGGCAGCGCTCGGCGAGCTTCGGACTGCGAGCTGCGCGCTGCGCGCTGTCAGCTGTTAGCTGTTAGCTGTTAGCTCTTGGCTGTTAGCTCTTGGCCACGTCCAACGCCCAAAACTCGATTTCATTTGCACTTTCCATTTCGTATGCGTCCAGACAACATGTCTCCTAATCTGCCAATGCCCTGCATCCACTCCACTCGGACCGCCTCGCCCTTGCCGTCGCCCATCGGTTGGTTCGTCCCTCTCAAGTGCCAAATAATATGTGAATAAGCGCGTGTGCGTGCGTCGAATAACAATCGGCAGGAGCCAAGGGAAACGGGCACTCGTATGCGCATTCATGTTTATAAAAGAATGATTATCATCGCCGGAGATTTGTTTTCTCCGCCCCGGCATTTCCTATTCTCCTTTGTATTATTGATGGCATTTTGATGTCAAAGCATATGAGAAGATGTTTGATATGTGATCTTATGGATCTTCTAAGTGGTGAACCCATTGAAAATGGGAAATTGGGATTGTGAAAATGTATGTTACAGGCAGAAGGAGGCGTGGTAGAAACCTAAAGTATATTCTTGATCAGAGCGACGAGTTGAGTCCGTGCACATCATACGCAGTATGAGTTTATCATATTTCTTCGTAACTCATCCCACTTTGTTTTTATCGATAATAATCGATAATTGGAATTTGTAAGAATAATTGAAATCGCAATATTATCCTATTTAAGAACTATATGTAATGTATCGGCAAAGGTATAGAGCTTTGTGACAATTGAGTACTGGCAATAATATTTCCATAGGTGACTTATGAGAAAAAATTGTCTTTGCCTAGGCTAATACAGATATACTCTGCTATCTCAAATACAATGAGATATACGCTCTTCAATCTCAAGTTCTGTTAGAAATATACTCTTCTATCTCAATTACTGTGAGATGTATACTCTCCTAAATTGTTAATATCTTTTGATATACTCAATGAGCACGTTGCAAATTGGTAAATTTAATATATTTATTTCTCTGTCATCAATCAAGTCTTGTTGGTTAACGATTTACATATATTACTAGTTCCACATGTGTTTCCCATTGATTTTGAAATATTTTCGTATCGTGAGCGAGTATTGTGCAGTCGAATCCGCCCGACTGCTGTAGGCCGTGACTACTTGCTTTGTGGGTTAGTAGTTCAGCCTCAGGTTGCTGGCATAAAGGCCCAGTGCAGGCGAGTACCCCTATGCGACCCGCTTGGCCTGCGCTCGCCCGCCTGGTGCTGCTGGGCCGTGAAGATCCCAACTTGAATCACTCGAGTGGCTGACTGGACAGCCCCCGAAATGAAACGAGAATGTTTCCAGAGCAATGTCAGGCGATTGTTTTTGTTGTGCTTCGAGTGCTTTGCCTTTGGCTTTGTTTGCGTTAGCACTCGAGCCATTCGAGCCATTCGAGGGGGTCGAACTTTTGGTATTGGGTCGAGGCTTGCTTTCACTGTTGCCATAGTCAAGAGGCGACAGATGATGCAGAGGCGTGGTCGGGGTCGGGGTCGGGGTGATGGGACAGTGGACAGGGGCGAGTTAATAAATACGAGTATGCGGCACTTACTTGATATAAATGAAAGCACAAGAATCATATCTATGGTCACTTGAAACCACTTCATCTCATTTCCCTCTGCGCGCTGGTGTCGAGGGCGTTCTGGGGCGTGGCAGCGACCTTGTTGTTGCTGCTGTTACAGTTGTGAACAGAGCTGGTTAATAATGTTGTTTGTTGTTATATTTATTGTTGTTGTTGTTGCAGATGCTGTTGTTGTTGTTGTTTTTGTTGCTGTTGTTGCATTTGTTCTCTGTTGCAAGCTTCTCTGTTTCGATTTGGTTGTTGTTTTTGTGCGTTACATGCATTTCAGTTGTTGTTGTTGTTGTTGTTTATTTGGCAGCATTTATTTACATGTTTATTAGAACTCATTTTCCATTGTCACATAATTTTCAACGATTTACTGGGTTTATGCCCATTGTGCATTGTTCTAGCTTTCAGTTGTCGTCGATAAATTTATATAATTAAATTAGTTGCATATTCGTTTGTTTGTTTGTTTGTTTGTTGGTTTGTTTGTATGTATATCTATTAAGTCACTACAACATATACATATATGTACTATATATACTAGACTTCGTTTGTTTTATTTATTCCGTGTATATATATCTTGTAAATACATATATTTGTTTCTTGGCAGTATTCGATTAAAATTCTTTAAATGGGATTTCGCTTTTTCCTGGCCAAGTGTTGCCTCTGTTGCTGTTGCTGCTGTTGCTGTTGCTGCTGTTGCTGTTGCTGCTGTTGCTGCTTCTCCTGTTGATGCCCGCTGCCCTGGCCTTTGTTTCATTCTCTGCCGGCCCTTTCTGGCTTTTGCTGCTATCAACTTTTCGCTAGCTCTGCAAATGAGTAGAAATCAAATTAATTAGTGCTTTATAATTGTTGTTTGTCATTAAGAATATTTCACTCATTGTTGTTCGAGACGAACAAATTTCACAAGAATTAACGAGATTTGCCCATAAAAGGTCACTATAATATTCAAAAAAAATAGCAAAACACTGATCATGGTCGACTGGCAAATACCCTGCCCTACCCTGCAGGCGGCCTGATACAACTAGAGCTGCCACAAAACCTGCCACATCCCCTCAGCTATTTGTCGCTTCGGCTCTTACAGAGCATTCCAAGAACTTGCTGCTTAATCATTTGCCTTTCCTTTTCCTTTTTTTTTTTTTTTTTTTTTTTTGGGTATTGTTGCTGCAAAAGTTTGTGAACATTTCAAATGAGCTGCTTTCGGGCATCACTTGGTTCGCTTTGGATATCCTCTTTGGCTTGGATACCCTCCCTGCCTAGGCTACGCTGTACTACACTTTGACGGGTCTGGATAAAGCAGATCAACAGGATTGAGCGAACTGAAGTCGAGCTGAGTGTGAAGTGTATAAAGTATAACAAATTCGCAGAAATTGGGAGAGCGAACTCAACTTGACGTACAATTTATAAGTGAGAATAAAATATATTTCCAAAAAATACAAAGGGTTGTCAAATGTCTATTGTATATAAGTATATTCAGAATATATAAATATTCTAATATCCGTTTCAGAGAAGCCTTCGTCTATCTGTCCACCTGTCCACCTGTCCATCTGTCCACCTGTCCACCTGTCCACCTGTCCACCTGTCCACCTGTCCACCTGTCTAGCTGTCTAAGCTGCCTCCTTATGCAAACTAGTCTCTGGAATTGTAAATTTCTGGATAGCCCTCACTCCACGCTGATGGGATAGTAGGGCTAAGGGTATTTCAGAATTCGTTTGAGCCAAATAATCTCTCCCCCTTGTCCTTTGTTCGTCTAGTTGTTCAACATTTTCTTATGCAAATTCATTTTAATTATCATTTTGCGTTTTGCGTTTCTTTTGGGCACAAATTGAATTGTTTGGCGACAGCACAGAGCAACAACAACAACAACAACAACAAAAACAAAAATATATATGACAAAACGAGAAAGAGGGTAAAGAAAACAGAAACAAAAACAAGAAGAAAACAAATTAAAAATATAAGAATAAATATATTAAAAAATGAAAAATTGTTCCAGGCTCATAAACATTTTGTGAATTTCAATTTGTTTACGTGGCTCAAAGGCGCTTTTGGGCTTATGCTCGGGTTTCCTCTTTGCCAAAAACCCCCCTCTACCCCCCAGCGAAAACCACCCCCGCCCGCTTGGCCGTGACATGCGGGCCGTCAGCTCACCTTAGCCATTGTTACGCATAATTTAATTTATAATTCGAGGCTGAGCGTGCGCTAAGCCCCCGACTTAATTGTCCTTTGATATAGCCTAGATGAAAATGACTGCCCGGGACGGGCTGCTGAGCCGCATCAAATGTTCATTTGCCTGGATATTTCACATCATTTACACAAGATTTACGAGTCGAATGGGGGCGGGGCAAATAGTGAGCAGGGGGCGGCGCACGGCAATTGAGCTTGAACGCTCTTAACGTGATCTTAATTGCAGCTCAAAGAATCGATCAACTGCCAGCGTTGCCAGACAGTTTTACAATTTAATTATCGCCAGAGCGTTTAAAGTTGCCTCAGCCTCAGCCCCAACCCCTCCGCCCCCTCCCCCTTGGGCAGCTGCTGTGAAATGAGCATTGGAGGCGTGAAAAGCATTTCGGAAGTAATTTGGGAAAATGTCATGCATGCAACGTGGCGTTGTCGTCGGAAAACGCGACCCCGCTGCCAGCCCCGTCAATGCTGCCAAAGCGGCGGCCCTCCACGAGCTGTCAAATATTTAAAGGAAGCCCCACAGTGGCCTGCAGCCAGCCAGCCAGCCAGCCAGTCAGCTAGCTAGGCAGGTGGCATGATGCGAGCTACGACGACACGTTTCTGATGCAACAAAAGATGCCAAGTGTCAATTTAAGCAGGCGTTGCCTAAAAAGAAAAATATCGCAGAGGGCAGGCTCGGCGAGAGAGACGCCAGCACAGGCAACTCTGCCCGGGGGCACCCTACCTTGCCTTACCATACCTTACCTTGCCTCTGTTCCTAGTTGCTATTCCCATTCTTAAGCTCATCTTCCAGCTCATTCTTGTTCGCATTGTCATTCCCATTCCCGTTGCCTGCTCACGCTCACGTTCACGTTCACGTTCATGTCCTCGTTCGTCAGCCCCTTCCCATTCCCACACCCACTCCCGCTCCCATTCCCATTCCCATTCCCCATCCCCACTCCTGCTCAACGTGCTCGCCCTGGCACTTGAAGCAAAAAGCCAACGTTGACAGCGTTTAAGACGCTCGCTTGGGCATTGTCCTTGCGTGCCTGACTGGATGCCTCACAGGCTGCTTGGTTGACAGCGCAAGGCTTCGCTTTCGCTTGTCCTGACCTGTTCCTATCCTCGCCTGTTGTCTTTTCATATTAAATGCATTGCAAAAACACGAACAGAGACGAAAATTGAGAAAGCGAAAAATTCGATTTTTCGTCAACGGCGGCTGACAACTTCCGTTAGCAGCGCAACAATGAGAGCTACCCAGTCGTACAGTGGGCCCCCAGTGCCAGTGCCAGCGTCTGTCCCAGTCCCAGTGCCAGTGCCAGTCATTCAGCAGTCATGACAGCTCTCCCGCCCAGTCACCCGCCAGGGCTTGGCCCGCAACCTTCCAGCCGACATCCTCTCAACCTTTGGCCCCCTCTCTCCTCTCCCCACTCTTTGCGTCGCCGCTCATTATGAGCGCTCATTAGGCGGCGCTCGCGGCATGCCAGTCAAAGAGGCACGACCCCAACAGCAACAATGTATGAGCCGTTATATTGTTGTTGTTGTAGTTGTTGTTGTTGCTGCTGCTGCTGCTGCTGCTGCTGCTGGTGCCGTTTTTATTGTAGGCCATGAAACGTCGCGCCGCCTCGCTTTGGGCATAGCAATTTATTCATGCAACATGCAACGCTTAATATTTGATGAATCGCCGCTTTGGCGGTCAAAGTTTCATCCAGCTTGATCTATATGCATAAAAGACTTTTTACTGATTGGCTAATTGGTAATCAGCCGGCGAAGCAGGTATTTTCCTTCAGGAAAACTCATTTGCAATGCATTAAGAAAACAGTCAGCAAATACAGATTTATTAACCTTGGACTAAGTATTAGAGACACTCGAATCTAGTATATGAATGATGATCTGAATAGGACGCGGAATAGGTCTAGGGAAAACTCAAGGCCACAGATCAATGATAATTGAATTATTGAATCATTTTTATGGGATCTGCATTTTAAATTGGAGTTGTAAGAGGGCGAGCGCTGAAGGGAAAAAGAAATGAAACCTAAGGCGGTCGGACGTTGTTCTAATATCTATTTATCCCTTCATCCGTAGAAAAAATATGCAAATAGTAGTCATATCCAAGTACTGTGTGTAATATTTGATTTTTTATTTTCAACTTCAAAGTCCTATGAAATTAAAAAAGTGTAAATGATAAATTTAAAAATTACCTTTCCGACGAGGTATATGTCAAGGACGTACAGTCGAGTCCCGATAATTCGAAATGGCAAAGGGTCAATTTTTTTCGAACTACACAGAGATTCAACTTATCGAGAATTATCGAGAACGAACTTTTTTTTTTTTCAAGGGAATAGAATTTGTTTCGATTTATCATGATTTTTTATGAAGCTGTGTACAAATTATCGTGACTCGACTATATGTTTATATGAACGTCAGATTTTTTCATGCAAGGTGAAATATGCAACGTATTTCAAAACAACTTCCCTTTGACTGGGAACAAGTCTGAAAGCAAATTTACATATTGATGACATTTGCTTTGTTACAAATAATATTTCGAATAATATAGATCTGGCATCACATTATATTATTGTAGGCACAGGTCTTAAATAGCTTATGGACTAAATCGACATTGGGCTCCCTCATTTATGCAACTCAAAGTGAGTTTTTGCGGCCAATTCAGTTCACATTTCCCATTTTTCTGCTGCGCATGAGGCAAGAGAAGTTGACCTCTCGCATCTGAGCTGCTCTCAGTATCCCATTCGCTGGCGCTGCTGATTTAGCTATTATTACATGCATATTTTGTGTAATGAGTGCGATTAGCATTCTCAATGAAGTGGGGCTAACAATGTGCTCGGCATTTCTAGCTAGACAATTTCTGCTGCTGCCTCTTTCGCTGTTGTTGTTGTTGTTGTTGCTGTTGTTGTTGTTGCTGTGTCATCAACATAATCAACATTTCAAATTGAGCGCCACTATTAGTTGTGCTACTCACGTACAGCCCTAGTCTCTCTATCCCTATCTCTATCTCTATCTCTATCTCTATCTCTATCTCTATCTCTATCTCTATCTCTATCTCTATCTCTATCTCTATCTCTATCTCTATCTCTATCTCTATCTCTATCTCTATCTCTATCTCTATCTCTATCTCTATCTCTATCTCTATCTCTATCTCTATCTCTATCTCTATCTCTATATCTATCTCTATCTCTATCTCTATCTCTATCTCTATCTCTATCTCTATCTCTATCTCTATCTCTATCTCTATCTCTATCTCTATCTCTATCTCTATCTCTATCTCTATCTCTATCTCTATCTCTATCTCTATCTCTATCTCTATCTCTATCTCTATCTCTATCTCTATCTCTATCTCTATCTCTATCTCTATCTCTATCTCTATCTCTATCTCTATCTCTATCTCTATCTCTATCTCTATCTCTATCTCTATCTCTATCTCTATCTCTATCTCTATCTCTATCTCTATCTCTATCTCTATCTCTAGATAGTTCTAGATTTTTATTATTAACTCTTCCGCTTGGCTTTGCTTTCCAAAGCCAGGGCCACGCCCCCTAGGGTGTTGTCCTTGCCGTTTGCCGTGTGGCGTTTGCCATTTTGCTATGCGCCTCTTTAATGTTAGCCACTTTACTTTTTTCTTTCCCTTTTT